TCGTTGTTATCGAGAATGGTACAACTTATTGTTTCACAGTCATCCTGCTCTAAAGCCGCGAAAATGTTCAAAACGTCCGCCATTTTCAAACACAACAAAGTTTCACCCAGCATGCCTTGTGTGTGTTGCAGAGCACGCGACCTCGAATTCTGGGAAGTGGTCGGACGCGTTCCATTCGACGAGCGAAAATTCCGAAAATTTGAACCGGTGATTTTTGTTGAATGAAAAGAGCCCGTGGAGAACTTATGCTACTCCGTACACAATAGTGTGAGTTATGTGACTGTACTCTTACTGGAGAAAACAATAAGGCTAGGATGCAAGGGATTTGACAACTACGTTAGGAAATACTGCGCGCTTAACCGTGAGCTTCAAGTTAGAGGCGTTGTTGATAGGCACAAGTGTTGTCATGGTAGCTGCGTACTGGCTGTCGGTGCAAGGAAACGACACTCAAAATACTATAAGAGCAGCAGGTTTAAACTGAATGAAAAGATTGATGACCGGATCAAAGAGTCCGAAAATACACTTTTGGCAGTTTATTTTGACAGTCGGCTTATACAAAAGCGTTATTTTTACACCTGGTAACATGGAAAAGTGATACATATGCATAAATAAAACACGGAAACACAACACTATCGTTCAACGCAGTGATCATAGAGGTACTCCATGGTAATCTATGTTCGAGTTCACCAAATGACGTCCAGATTTAGAAGTTCCTGAAGATCGATGTAATAGCGGTCGAACCTCTCTTAATCCAGTTACTTCATCAACATTCATCTTGTGATAAGTTTTCTTGTTTAGCCGTTCCCCTTAAATTACGACTCACCACTACCAAAAGTCAAATATACAGTGCCGTAGAGAAATTACCCAGGACGAGAAGACCAATTACTTGAGTTGCAGAAATAATCGCGCGCCAGTTGAAGATAAGCCAGTACCTCTGTTTAGAGAGAACATACAAATAGAAGCCCAAACAAAGCAAAAAGGAAAACCATGAAGCCTTCGAGGATAGCGGATAAAGGATGATCACCCCGTTGTTCTGCTTTTAGCTTCTTAATCATCCCGGTGCTTTTGAGGTCTTTCAGTTGGCAAAAATCCGTGTGTTTGCCCCACTATAGACGAGCAAACAAAGAAGCTTTCGCTTTTTGAAAACGACGCCTTAATGCCGACAAACGTGTCATGTAAGAGGTAATGTATTCGTAACATAATTTAAAATTCAATAGGACGCATTATATTCCAGCTACGGTGACATCAAAAAGAACAATAATTTGAAAATGCAATTATATAGTACTCGACAACTTTTAGGCAGCTTTCCGAGTTTTGAATCACGTACTTTTAATGAACCTTTTTTTGGAAAGAGCATCCCTATGAAGCAACTTGTTGCTCCAGAGCATTTTATGAAAGCACGAGAGATTAGTGTCGGTAAAGTGCACTTCTTGACAAACACTCACTCGTGATCAAATTCCAAGTCTTTAGACTCGTTACCCTAGTATTACGGTCTTCACGCAACGCTTCAGAGAAGAAGCGTTGCGTGACAACCCTAATAAAGGCCAACGTCTACGAATAAGACTATCGTTATCGTAGTGTGTTGTTAACATACATGGCAAATGAAATTATACGTTCGTGCATTTACTCACGAACCGGGTTTTTTTGTTTCGTATCAGTTGGTTTACCTCTGTAGTTTTTGTTATGCTTTGTTGCAAACGTCTTCCATACACAATCTTTAATCATAAAATTTCAAGGTAATAAAAACCCGACATTTTTTCGTTTGACTGCCGTCTGTGTCAGCGACGAACAAACTCGTTCCCATCAGGGAACGCTCTGCGAACGAGGTTGAACGACATACACGCCATTCTCGTACCCAGATCCCGAACACAGCCCCTCGTTTCGGAGATTGTGTGTTCAAATTCAAAGAAACAAACTCTCTAGCAATGTCAACCGGCAGGGGCGGATCCAGGACTTTCCAGGGGAGTGGCGGTGGTGGTTGTGGTGGCTGGTACCTTGGTTTTGCAGAATAAATAGAGAATGCCCCTAAAATGTTGCAATTTGACAATTGGCCCCTTTCCAGCGTGCTTGCCTTTATGCGGCTGCCATAATCACAATCTTTTTCAATATCTTTATTCTTTGTTTCTACAAAAGGGGAGGTGGCTAGCAACCTAATCAACTCCCCCCCCCCCCCCTTAAATCCGCCCCTAACTGGTGTGATAACGGTGACGCGAGTGACGACATGCTGTAAACTAAAACATCCAATGACAGGGGAGGAAGATTGGACCAGATTACCATCGGTATTGACTAGTTCAGGGAGGCTCCTCCGGTAACAAGAGATATTGTTACCTTAAGGGATGTCTCTTTCTATGCTATCAACGAAAACATTTAGGTAACAATTCCATTATTAATAAGGAATAAGAGAGAAAATACTATGTGTCCTCCCCTCCACATGTGATCCCTTGTTAACAAATTCGTGCTCATTTCGATGCCGGGATGGCGGCAGGGGAAATGTTTCAGTTTGTTGTCATTACTATGTAAGAGTTCCTCTATTCTTTCACCAGTATACATTTTCAATGGTACAAAGGCCTTCAACTAATAAATCATTTCCCTTCGATCAACTTCTTCCCTTGTTCTCCTTTGAATGACATTTTAGAGTTTGTACCTGCTGTCACGGAGCTGTCGACTTCACTGAAAACACCAGAAGTATCGAACCCGCTCCAAAGTTTAATTGCCTTCCTCGAAATGAACAAGACTAAAACCTCAGTAACGTTTCACAATTGCTGACAGACATACATTTTCAACAATGTATCTACTTTATATTGAGGGTCTGTAGAGAGTTACTTAAGTCGTCTAAATCCTCAGATACAACTGATAACAGAAATGAAGTTCGCATTTTATATAATGATAACAGCGCTAAATTTTAAAGTAGCGTTCATAGAGGTAGATAAACCTTGGCAATGTAGTCCAGAAACGCCTTGAATCTTCGTTTTGTTACTTAAATAGACTGCATCTCTTAGAAGTTCAGTTTAAAAATATGTCCATTAACAGATTCACGAGCCCACAACAGAAGAATCCTCAACATCCAAGACCAAACTGGTTAGTTAATAAGCTTGCATGACAAAAAGCCAGTTTAAGACCAGCCAGAGTTCGTAATGTTGCTATCATCTGTTGATACTTGACATCACCAAATAAGCAGAAACGCAATAGCTGTAAAGACGAAAATCATGACTGCTTCGAGGACTGCAGACGATGGGGAATTACCTCGCTTTTCTTTCAGCTTCCGTATCATATCGATGCTTTAAATCGGTAAGCAACTTGATTGGTGTCACCCTTTTCAAGAGAATAAAGATAACTTAAGGAAGCTATTGTTTTCAAAACCGCACCTCTATACATACAAATTCGTCACTAAAATTTTAATGTATTCAAAGAAAATTTTAAATCAAGTTTAACATCATCGGTCGACTGATGTTAAATTGTTTAGCTCAAATGTCACAGTTATCACGAAATGAAACTTCGTTGTCTAATTAATAAACCAGAAGCTAACAGAGGAGTTGTTCGTATAACGTATTATAATATTGTTGAAAGAAAATATAATAGGTATTTTCATTAGATCTAATGTATGGAAACGCATATGATCATTTTACATGTGAATACAGCCACCTGTCGATCTCGTTAACTGGCCAGGACAAGTTTCAAGAAATTACCATCTGCAACATGTTTGTTTGCAAAGTTTGACGCTCTCTTGTTTACCCTTCGTGTATGTAGTCACGATATGGACTATTTTGCATTATCATAACTGGCTAGTGGCTTACTATTTTATTATAAAATTCAATCCGGTTGGTTACATAAGCACTCGTTACGATCAAAGACGTCGGAAATCGTGCGCGGACTTTAGATCTCGGGTAGCATCGCCAGCAAGTATGACCTATATCGCGTTTCACAGTAACCTCGTTCCCAGGGCCTCTCTCCAATGAGGAAAACTCCACAAGCTAGTTCAACCAAGTTCAACCTCGTTCCCAGGGAGTGGAGCGAAAAAAAAGAGAGTCCCTGGGAACGAAGTTAGAGCAAGCCCATCAAGCGATGGTACAGTGAAAAGTCAAATGCTCCAAGAGTATTGTAAACCCAAACAAAAGACACGGTAGGGCATACAGAACTGTTTTCGATATCTGTCGTTTAATACCAATCACCTCAATTAGATGGCGACCTAAACAGTGGGTACAGCTAAACTTTATAAAGTAAACTATCTATTCACATTAGAAATTCACGTTTGTCTAAAACTATACAAAAATAATTACCCATTCCACCCTTGAGGAAAAGATTAATTAAAAGGAATTTACCCACCCTACACATACTTTTTCTTTTTTATGTCAAAGTATTGTAATAAAACATTTTACCCCCGGATTCCATTACATTTAACATTTTGTAGCTGCAATATAAGGTTGAGATATAAGAAACTTTTATAATTGTGAATAATTCGTATACTAATAAAATTTTCATTATCTATATGAATAATCTAAGGGAGATCGTACAAATTGTTTATATTCGTTCACACGCGAATTGCAGCAATGTCTATGAAAACTAGTTTCGTGGGTTAAGAAAAAAACCCAGTCACTTCTTTAAGCTGTTTTATGAGTACAAAATGTCTGTGTTACAACTGATAAAAACGCGAAAATTCGCGGACACTTTTTCGGTTTCTAAGGCCCTGTTAACAAGCAAGTAGGGTAACCCTAGCACCTAGTGCTAGGGTTACCCTTGCAAGAAGGTCAAAGATAGCCCGCGTTTACAAGCAAAATTTTTCAATTAGGGGTTACCCTACAACCCTGGCCAGCCACGCTTCAGTTAACCTAGTAAATAATTCAAGCAACCGCCCAAGGTTATATTAGTGCCAGGGTAACCCTACCTGCCTTGTAAACACGTCCATGAGAATAACAAGAAATGTCGGAGTGCTAGGGTAACCTTCTTGCTAGGGTAACCCTAGCACTAGAGTAGCCTGTAGAGCAGGCGAGATTTTTTCGAGCGAGCGCTCACATCGTAAAAAGTTTAGCCGCCATCTTGAATTTTTCATGCACTGGAAGACTGGAGAGAGAAAGAAAGTTCTACCAAGGGGGTGAACGATAGGAAAGAGGAAGGATAGGTGAGGGGATCCCCCACCGTCTAACATGGTGGTCGCAAGGTTGTAACGCTAACTCGCCCCAATAAGACGCCGGGACTGCAGGCTAGCACTAGAGTTACCATACCTCCTTGTAAACAGGGCCTAAAATCCATCAAGACTGGTTTCAGTATGATTGCTACAATCGCTGCCTTAAAAAGTTCTGTGATCGTTACGATCATACGGAAACCACTCTCTAGCGATCGTTACACGATCGTAGCGACGACTGCTTAACGACACACTTTCGTTCTATATCGACGATCGTAGGGATGTTCGGGAATCAGTGGTCGTATGGGTCGATCGTTCAACTTTTTCTGTGGCGATCGTAACCATGGTAGCAATCATAAGGAAACCAGCCTTTGGGATGCGAGACTACTCGTGGTCAATATGACATAAACAAAAAATAAAAACGCAAATTAAATACACTTTATAAATACGCTGCGTGATCTTGATTTAAAGTACAAGCGCACTGTTTTCAAAAAAAAAAGAAACTATATAAAAATCGCTCGTATAAAGAGAAAAACATTAACCGAGGCGTCTAAACAGCGAACGATGATCGAAAGTTGAGTTTGTCGCGAGTTTGCTAGCCGTAAACTATACCTCCCACGAAACAGGATGAGCCGGTTTGTACGCTGGATAAACGGTGTCAGCCCTAGGGGTTACTGAGAGATAAAACCTGTATTCAGAACAGCTCGTGGGGCAATTTTTTTTAACGTTCAGTAGTCGCATGCGACCTGTTCTATAAATTGTAAGATATCCAGTAAAATCGCAGTGCACTAACTTAGCACCCAGGTCTTCATGACGTCACAAACTCATTTTTGTTCTCTCGGCGCTAGGTCACTCGTTCCCAGTACCTTGATCGCGCGCATACGGACTAGTCGGACCATTTTCTACATACTTCATAACATATCTAACTACAAGAATTGCACCCGATTTTAAAAACTATTCAATCTGATCACTTTTTTCCTCCCATTTTCTCAAATAACGATTTCATGGCCAAAGTTCGCTGTTGACGTTTTTCCTGAAACGTAAAATGAAACGTTAATATCACAACCTGAGTAAACACGAAAGACTACGTACGTAAAAAAAAAATACGAGTACTGAAAAACAAGGTTAAGTTTGCGTACGAGCCAAGTGACCCATCAGGACTGTGCTTATCCTGGTTTCAGTAGCATGAAGCAACTAGGAGTATTTCTACTCCCCCCTGGATACTACAGGATTGATTTCAGCTTTATTCCATGCTATACGGTACGGACGTTTTGTGGAGAGAAACCAAGAGGAAGTTCGTGCTTTTCACTTACAAAACCATCAGGTGAAGGTAACTTTCCAGGGATTTAATTCAATTTCAGACTGGGTTTCTGGCCTTCCAGTGTCACCAATGAAAATAAATATATCGGAATATTACAGTGAGAAAATAAACTTTGTAGAGCAATCGACTTCTAAACTGAATTTTTGTGCACCGGGCAAAATGACTCAATTAAGCGCACTTCAAGCCCTCCAGTTGGCAAGTTTACATGTTCTTACAAAACGACACAAACCTTCTCCTCTTGAGCTTTCCTCTTTCTTTCATTTTCCTCTTCTATTTTTCGCTGAAGAAAAAGCAATCAGATATTTTTATGTAACAGACTAAAAAAAGTGCGTAATAACAGTATCTTACTTACAAATCGTTTATCTCGGAATAGAAACTTTGCTATAGTTTTGCAGTTTCCAGCTCAAAATACAAATTGTCTCCAGTGATAGTCACACTATCCTTTTTATCTTAGTTATGAGAATTTGTTAGTAAATCAAGACAATATCACCTAGTTGATGATTATCTATATCCTCATCTCCCGTATGCTTGAAAATGTAATGACGTTGCATGGAAAAATTAGATTTTGATCACTCTGCGCAAATTCTTATTATCCAATCAAAAAACAGTCCAAACATTTACGAATAAGTCTTACAATAAGACTATCAGAAAAAGGTTTCTGTTCTTTCAACCGACCTGCTTCTCTGATTTGCTCGCTTCTTCTTTCCGTTTTATTTCCAACAAAACGTTTTCCCTTTCTTTTTGTAGTTCCTCTTCTCTTCTTCTCTCTTCTTCTTTCTCGATCTACCAAAACAAAGTTTAATCAAACGGATTAATTAGACTCCTCGATTTGGGGCTTCGTCCCTCGGCAATTACAAGTCAATACCTAAAGACCTCGAGTTCGCTGTCTTACTTGTAAATCTTAAGTCCATGTTTTTCCATAACTGGAATCCCTGTGTTTCTAAGACAAACATAACTACGGATCCAAAAAAACTTGAATTCCAGCTTCCCCTTGGGATAAGTAACTCTCTAATTTTACTTGCCCTGGGAAGTCTTAGTTTGCTCCTTCAATTATTTAGTTGGCAAACGATTTGGCCGATCCCGTGGTCACTGGGCAAGTGAGAATGAAAAAATTACTTGCCAAGTAGGAAAATCTATTTGTCCTGGACGACCGGAGAGCACTTTTTTCGCGCAGACTGTGCAGAATTTTTTTTTTTGTTCAACAAAAAGCTGACAATTTCTTACCTCGATCCTGCTCTTTTTTGTCTCCGACTTATCCCTAAAACAACACATACAAAATGAAAAGTCATTTTGTTAAAATAAAAACAGCTTTTAGCTCACAGTCAAATAAAAGGCAGAACAACGTAACAACCCTAAACAACGTGATACAAGGAAACTCTTTCAACGAAAAAGATTACTGCAAAACGTAGCTAGATAGCACACTTCCTCTAAAATACTAAGCCACGGTACAATTAGTTAACGCGTATGACATCACTAAAACAAAGCGCGCGCTCTGACTGGTTAATTTAGAGTCTACTATTTGCCCATGGGTGTACGCTACTGACGTGTGTGCTAATGTTTACAAAACAAATCTTTTGACACACATTTTTTCCAAAGTAATGGCCGACGTTCTTCTGCTAGAAATGCGAAACTGTCTTAACAGTTGTCTGAAGATGAAACTTTATCGAGTTACTG